TTAAGGATGATAGTAAAAAAAGAGTAGTTATGAATTTATGATATACAGGTAAGAATATAAAGAAATATGTTATGATTATCCGATGAAGCTGTCTATCTATCTGGTAAGTGTGGTTGGTGGTCGTGTTCCAAAGTCCATGGAGCTGTGTACTCAAACCTTCATCCATTTCAATGCTTCTTCTCTCTCTTCCTTCTCTTCAACTTCTAACTCTCTTCTTCTTCTTCTTCGTCCTAACACTTTGCCCTTCAAATCCAATTATTCCTTAAACCTCTCATCTCATTATCATCACACTCACAATTCTTCTCCCTTCATAGTTTCAGCTTCTTCTCCTTCTTCAGTTGCTGTTGGCACAGAAAATGACCGTCTTCCCGCGGAATTGAAAGTTACACAAACAGAGGGACCCAATTCCACTGTGTGTTCTTTCTTTCTTATCATCGCTTAATGCTTCCTCTTAATAACCAACATGAGAATCACCTATAACTTCTTAATCCATTGAGATGCAGGTTAGATTGCATGTGGAGGTTCCACCACTAGTATGCCAGGATTGTTACAAGAGGGTTATAGTCGAGTTTACAAAGCAAGCAAAGGTTCTATGGTTATTATTAATTTATGCTTTATACAATCAATTATCATGTCTTCCTCATATTCAATGCTCTTTATGTTTTCTATCATGAGGATTATCAGTTTATGATTTCTAGTTAACCTCTCTATGTTGTCTTTACTATAAAATATGAGCTTACTATATTTTCAAATCTTAAGGTATGTACCCAAGCCGACCCCACTTAGTGGGACTAAGACTTGGTTGTTGTTGTTGTTGTTGTAAGATGTGTGCCCTATAAATGAGTTTACTACCTCAGAATACATCACTGAGTAGTTTTCTTGAGATGGTCATGGATCTAAGGTTTTGGCATTTGAAAGCAGCATGCCTCTTTTAAGAGCTAATTTAACACCAATTCACATGAACAGATCCCAGGATTTCGCCCTGGAAAGAGCGTTCCGGAAAGTATTCTTGTTGGTTATGTTGGGAGTAAAAATGTTAAGAAGGCCACCATTGAATCTATATTGAGGAGGACACTTTCACATGCTATGGCATCGGTATGTTGCTAACTTGCTATATGCTTTCCGTTTTCTTTTTTACCATTTTGGGTTCATTATGTGTATTGGCAATTCAATCATGAACAATTCCTTGACCTTGGTTTGGAAATTGCTATCTAACGGTCATGTTCATCACAACATCCAAATGTAACTTCATTTTTTGAAAGATAACCTTATCGCCCAATGCACATCCCACACGCCTTTTCTCATTCTCAAAGTCTTGTAGTGCAGTTATCTTTTTATGGGAAGATCTGAGATCTCTGTGCCACTAAAACTACTTTGACATGAGGAAATGCTAAGAACTGATAATGGCCAAAAGATTACAAAAAAAGGAAAAATCTTCATGATTTTCCATTCCTTTATCTGAAGTCATAATCAATTTTTTTATTATAGGTTACTGGAAAGGCTTTGCAGGACTCTGTACGTATAGCGACTAAGTTTTCCGAGATGGAGGAGACATATTCTTCCCTTGGGTCTCTTAGGTAGGCATTTATAGGTTAAGCTGCTTGAAATGCATTTTCTGTTATGCTCACTGTCTTTTTCCTTTCCTTGCTGCATCTGTAAAAACCACAGCTAACCTCTACCACAACATAGAGATAAGGGAAATTGACATTAAGAATGCTCACACTTTCAGCTAGTGACTTTTACAGGAAGATTTATTTGACTATTCTCACTGATTTCACTTCTCCAGGTTTGATGTCATTGTTGATGTTGTACCTGAAATCAAATGGATTTCTGATAATGCACACAAAAATTTGAAGGTTGTTGTTGAAATAGATAGTGACATTGATGCTCACAAGACATTTGAACAAGAATTTAGAAGGCGTTACAAGTCCCTTGGTGCACTGAAAGTTGTTACTGACAGAGGCCTACAGGTGATTGACTTTAAGTTATACCAGTCAACTTGATGTACAATCATTTGCGTTTTTAATATGTATGTTTACTAAAATTTGTTATTCCTCTTGTTTGCTTTTAAATGTTCACTGCAGACACAGTGAAGGATATTTACTTGATTAGTGATTAACTTTTGTGCTGGTTCTTATACTTTTACTATGATATACCATAAAATAATTGTCATGCAAGTAGTATTTCATTTTGTATGCACTTACTATTAACTTGGTAATTAAATTTGAATTTTTTGATATCAACTAGTCTATCAAAATTTAGTTGGCTACTGCAAGCTAACTTTTTTTATGCTCACAGATTGGTGATGTTGCCGTCATTGACATCTCAGCAACAACCATTGATCAAGATGAATCAAATATTAAAAATATTCCTTCTGCTGAAAGCAAAGGTCTGATAAAAACTGATAATTTATTGTAGTTTCCTTTTTTGGTCAATATATATCATTAACATATTCTCTCTAAACCTTATGCTGGATTTTCAGGATTTAATTTCGATACAGAAGATGGCGACAATGTTTTACCTGGCTTCCTTGATTCTATAATTGGAATTTGTCGAGGAGAAACAAAGTCTTTTCCTCTTGTATTTCCTGAAAATTGGAAGCAAGAAAATCTTCGCGGTGTTCATGCTCAGTTCACTGTAAGTTTCCGATCTTGTAAACAAGGCATGGTCAAGAAATTGATTGTATTATGGACATGAGGTGGAATAGTAGTTTTTTCTTTTGGTCCAGTGGATGCTAACATGTCCATCCCAAATTCTTTTTGACCATATGTCTCATACAATTTTACGAACTCCTATGGTTAGGGCATATTTGCTATCTTATTATTTGCTTGTAGCTTTCTTGAACTTGCCTTTTCAACTTTAACACATCATGCTTATCAAACTTCTCTTTCATTTCTAATAGGTCGAGTGCAAAGAACTTTTTTACAGAGATTTACCAGAGCTGGATGATTCCATTGCCGATAAGCTTATCTCTGGATGCACCACAGTGGATCAGGTTACTTTTTTGCCCATCAAGTACTATTGTCATTTAAGGTGTAAACTGAGGACTTACATTGAGTTAAATTTGAAAAGTAAAATTCTCTAGCATGAATTGCTAGGTCAAAGAGCTATTGTTACAGAGATGTTTTGAAGTGGAGCAAACAGCTAGAGAACAAGCAACTGATAATGCTATCTTAAACCAACTTTCTAAGGTAACAACATTATATCAATAAGTAGCAGTATTAGATTGAATATGTTTTGTATTCTTGTTAGAATGTACCTTTCTACATGTTTTTAATTTGAGTGCTTCTCATATTGCGTGTGACACTTGGTCTGTGCATCTTCTCATTTTCAGATGGTAGAAATTGATATACCCCAATCCTTGTTTGAAGAGCAAGGTAGGCAACTTTATGGAGCCAGCCTATTAGAGATACAGGTACTGGTTGCAAGTTGAAACAATTTTAGACCAACAGTGCAACTTGGATTCGAACAATTTTACTTTTGTTTATGATTATAATACAAGGGAACTCTCCTTTTTCGTGCTCTCTATCATTGAGGCACAAATTTGTACTACTTATTTAGCGTTATCGTGATGCAGGCAAAAATGACGTTAAACGAACAGCAGCTGGCATCTCTATCTAGTCCAAAGGCTGTGAGCGAATATCTTCACCATCAGAAGGACAATATAACAAATTTGATAAAACAAAATCTGGCAGTTGGTGATGTATATAGGCGTGAAAATCTGCAGGTATGCATGTCTAATTTGATGTGATTAAGAATGAATAATGAGAGAAGATTTGAACTGAGATTCTCATTAATTGTGAAGAATGAACAGTATATAAGTAGTTTACTTCACGGACGGAAAGTAACCGAATCCTAACAAACTTGATTTGTCACAATAACTGTCTAACTAGCTGATTTAAGTCGTGTATAGTTGAAATAGTAACATTTGCTTGAGAAATAATTTAAGTGTGTTAAGGTCACTCAGTTTGATGTGATTTGGAAATAACATTTGCTTTATTACTAAAATGTCTAGTGTATTTAGTAATTCTTTTCCTTATTAGAGATTTTTTGTTATGTTTTGTAGGTTGCTACCGAGGAACTCGTCAAAGAGGTTGAGAATTCTATTGCAGAATTTAAACGTCAAAACCAAGAATATGATGAGGGACGAGTGAAGGATCAGGTTTGCACATTACTTTCAAGTTTCCTAATTGTTGTTTCTTTGGCATGCTTCATCTTTACATGTATGCATATCAAAATACAAATATCTTAAACCACTTTCAAATTGATCCAAGTAGAGATAAGTATTTCTTACGAGGAGGATAATTTAAACGATTAATTGATATGATCTATTTGAGTTTCGTTGAAGGTCCAAGAAATACTAGAAGGAGCTAAGGTGCTTGAATGGTTGAGAGAACATGCAGATATTCAGTATGTAACCAAATGAGGTAGAAGCACTAGCCAAAACAAATAAGGAAAGTGAAATTGCTGGTCCTTCTAAAGAATTTTGTTTCGGCTTATGTAAGTTGATCAAATAATTACCTATTCTTGATTGAGTTTTGAAGAAGGAATATTAGAATAGAAATAGGTATTACAAGTTTGCAGATTGGGAGTTTTATGATACATTTTTGTGACACTTAACTTTTCTAATCATTAAAAGCCACTTTCTTTTTATGCTCTCAAGAATGCAAAGTTAAAAAGCACTAGAAGCTAAATCACCATTGTAGACTTTTTTTGTCTTTTGGCCAATTGCTAAGTCAATTTCAGATCAGTAATAGTGTTTAGGTAACTTTCTTAATCATTTTATAAAATCCTTAAAATAAATGCTTATTTTGAGAAGGGCAGACACTTTATCTTGTTTAACTCCTCAATGCATTGGAGCTAGTACTTCATGGCTTTTACCATTACTTAATTTTCAAGAGACAAATGATGCCTATAGTTAAATCCTATCAATGTGATAAGCTTGAAGGGGCTAGAGATTCAAGAATAGTATCAGAAATCAAAAAATTATGTATGCATTGAACAACCCCAAAAAAATACACAGTGCAGAATTGCAGATACAGTTTTATTTTTGTACAAAGTACAAATGCACTTTAAAATGCCAATGTTAAGCCCTTAAGAAAATTAATTAATACAATACACAAGGATCGTTTTATCCTACATTCCTACTGGAATATACTTAACCTGCTAGAAAGAGTGGTCTGAAGAAAATTCTTTACTAATCTTCACTTGTCACAATAGGGTCATGATAAATAAATGTCACTCTCACACCAACAGAAGCATGCTTGATAAAATGTACATAGTAATCTTCTCATGTCTAAGTAAAGATATCATTGCTCCTCCAAACCAAGGTTTCTCGTTATCTACAAGACCATAACATAAAAAACTGCTAATAATTCATCAAAAGTTGTTTAACCTATATATCTATGCAACATTGGAATTAAACAGAAGGAGGAAACAAAAATAATCCTTAAATTTCCACATCATTGGAATTTTACCAATAAATTGCCTTAGGGAAAAGGTCACCTGAATATTCTTGGCGGTAAACTAATCATTGATGGTAGATGTTGACAAACATGGCCTTTACCATCTGAAAAACATGGGCTCACTCTCTATTATGTAGGTATACCACATGAATTTTATCCAAGTATGCAGAGTGTAATGTTACCCTTGCTCATATATATTGGTAAAGTAGTACAATATGAATTTAATTAGAGAGTGATTCCGTTGGCGTAACAACAATGCCACAAATGAGAAAGTCAAGAACCGTGTCCCCTTTTTTGATATCATGAATAATTAATGAGTCAAGAAGAGAAGCAAAAAAAGTACATGTGAGACGGTGCCATAATATCACAGTATTTTTAGGTAAGATGATTAGTTAGAGCATGATTGTGCCTTAGATGGAGCCTCCACCGATCTTAATAGAATTTACAAAACCCTTCCTCAAGCCAAGTATAAGACACGCTTTAGACTTAAAAGGGTCACATATTTATGTCTCTTCACTTCATTTTCAAGTTATTAGCTATACATAATCTGCATTCCTCTTTATATATTATCATTCTATTATTCGTAATTTATTAATATAAGTGCAGTAGAGGGATATATCATATCCATTATACACTTGGTGATTATTTAGCAATTAATCATAACAACATCCTCATTGACAATTTAGATTAATCATAGATTATAATATTGATATAAATATTTATACACAATCAGTGTATTATCTACGATTGATTTGTATTAGTTTTTAAAGAGTTAATGATGATTAAAAATAAATGATGGCTAATGCACTAATAGTATATAAAACTTTTACATTATCACTATCTACATTTTTCTCTTAGTCATACATTATTGTATACAACAATAATGTATGAGTTTTATATAATGTTAATGATTATTAACTATTTATATTTTATCATCATTGATTCTAAAAAATAATATAAATGAATAATGAATTATATATAAATCTTTATACACACTCATCCACATTTTAGATTATTGACATTAATGATAACATAATTTCCGCCTATTAGATTTATGATATCCATAATCACATAATAATCATCCTAGTAATCAAGGCTTACCTAGGAAAGTGATCAATCTAAATCAATTTTTTTCCACGTTGGAAAAAGTTTATTATGCATTAAACAGACATAGGTGGCACATTTGGTGAAGGACGTGTTTGATTCGTTATGACACCCAACCCCTGACCAAGACCTTTGCCTTTGTCCTATTTCCACGTTTCCCATTTTTCTATGTTAGTAATTTTTTACACTGTATTATTTATGAACTTATATTTTAATTATCATTATAAACTGCCTAAAAAACTTTAGGCTAATAATTCATACATATTCAACTCTTATGATTTGAAAAATAAGACATTTTCTATTTGTTAGACAGAATTGTAAGGTTCAAATGTCCGTCACTTTGGTTTTATGGCAGATTGTCCTTTGGCTAACCCATACTCACAGATTTGTCGCATTTACATATTTTATTTGCTACAAAACAATGAGTGAGTGATGCATTGATAGTAATTGCATAAAAAATATGGATTGATAGTTGCTCCATGCTACTTGCTACTTGTACTTTTATAAATTATTGTTATTACTGCAAAATGATTGTTAGTCACTGAGTGTTATTGTTGTTATGTTAGGATTCTATAGTTTTTGGCTTTTTGTTAATGCAATGGCCAGAGATGGTTTTCTCACTTTTAATGCCGTTATTATTAATGCAATGGCCATAAATATTCAATATATGAAGCATGAAATATTTAGTTGAATTTGATAGCAATTAATCCCCCCCCCTAAAATAAATTAACAAATTAATATAATTATTGAGTTTGTTAGTTGTCAATTAAGAAAAAATTAAATTATTAAATCATTTCATTTTTAATATAACTAAGGATATATATTATTGAGTTTATTAATTTAATGTTATGGATAATAATCCATTGATGCCTAACATTACTATATCAACATTTTTGGTAATTAAATTATTCCATATATTTATAGTTATCACACTTTAATTATTGCAATTTGAATAAGAAAATGGAAACAATAAAATCAATGTTTAGATGGGATGAAAAGTTTCTCTAGTAATGCTCTACTGGATACTAGACTGACCAAAAGCTCTAACTATCGATTCCTATGAGCAACTTTTAGTGGAGGGTCAACCACACACCCAAAATATATCAGTTCCTTAGTATAATATTAAGTTTATTCAAGTCTAAAAGATATGATGTCTCAAATGTGACTCTTCACTGTTCTCATACTCCGATAACAATGGAACTTTCCGGTGGTTGAGTCTTCAAGTAGTATCAGAGCCGATAGTTCGATTGAGATATAATAGAATTAAGAGAAAGCGAACCAGTAACTATGTGGTACTCGTCCCACATTGAAGTATCTGTCTCACGTTGAATATAAAAGCATAAATGAAATATTTTTAAGTTGAAAGGTCTAATAAAATCATTATGTTTCATTCAAGAAGACGACGTGATATCTCAATTGTAACTACTCTATACCCATGCATATAAAAGAATGGGATTAACGAATATCAATTGCATTAAATTCTGTCCCAATCTAGAACTCAGTACAGTCAATTACACTCACTCGTAAACACACATAAACACTCTTCTTCTTTTTCTTGTTCAGTTTCTGTTTCAGATCTGAAACAACTAAACCAAGAACAAGAATCCTAAGCCTCACGTACTGGGTAAGCAACCAAACCAACCCTCTATTACCATTCTCTCTTTCTTTCTCATTAACAACTTCTCTTCACCTCATTTTCTCTTTTCCTTCCTTTTTCGTTTTGGGATTGCCCACGTTCCTTACATTCTTGTTCTTCCTACTTATAGCTTCTGAATTTGGATTCTACTATTTTCCTCACTTCTTTCTTCATGCTATGCATTAAAAGCCTTCTTTTTTAAAAGATAACAAGCCATAATAGGATCAAATTTTGAAGCTTTACAATTGGGTACGTGCCATTTGCTCAAATTGATTTGAATTTGTTGTCATACTCTGTGTACTGGGTTGAATCTGTGTACCTTGAATAATGCTTGCATGAATGAGTGAATGAAGTCTGATTTGATTGCAGTTTTGCTTTGAATATATTATATCATGGAATTCAATTAAAAAACTACTAACTCTTTGGTGATCTTTTCAAAGTTCCCTTAATTGAACAATTCATTGAATTCATTGGTATGACTAGTTTGGGGAACAGGGATTCAATTAATTACACAATGGATTTTCAGTTTACATTCACTATGCTTTAATTTAATCAATTCCTCATTTCCATAGTCCCAGTCTCTTCGATTTGAGTATTTTTATGTTCCCAAAATAAAATGTGCCAAATCCTCCTTTATTTTTCTGTGCATTTTTTAAATTATTAGCTTTGCCTCTTGATGTGTATTTATATTAGATTGTCTTGTGAAATTCCTAAAATTAATATTAAGATTACTTATCCGAAAGCAATTTCATTTTTTTGTTTTGTTTTTGAGATGCAGTCTAGGTTGAGTTGAAAACTCAATGGCAGTGACAGAAGCTCAAAATCCTCTTCTTGGAGAAAATACATGCGGCTCGTTGTTAAAGAAGCTCCAGGTAACTAACTTCATACACATTTTGACCTGTGTTACTGAACCCTTATGCATGGACTACAAGAATAGTTTAAAGTTATCTTTATTTTCTGTAGCAAATATGGGATGAAGTTGGTGAGAGCGACGAGCAGCGAGACCAAATGCTTCTTCAATTAGAGCAAGAGTGCTTGGATGTTTACAAGAGAAAGGTTATGCAGGCTGCAAAGTCAAGGGCAGAGCTACTTCAAGCCTTGTCTGATGCCAATGTTGAGCTTTCTAGTCTTCTATCAGCTCTTGGAGAGAAGAACTTTGCTGGAATTGTAGTAACTTGTTAACTACATCCTTATATTGTCAACACACAATAATTATTGCAAATGTAGTTTTGTTTAGCATTCGATGCACCTGTCATAATAGGACGAAACATACGTATGAGTTTGTTCGGTTTTGGTGTACTTTGTAAATAAAATCTATTAGGACATTAAATGAAGAAATTAAACATTTTTATTCCATTGGAAGTTGGAGGAACTTAAGAGAGCTAAATAAAATAAAAAAATTAGTTTCAACCTGGTTTTTTCAGGCATCAAAGGTTGATGTATTTAATGAGAATGTGGCAAACTAATTTTTTATGCATTGTTTAATAATTCTCTCAGCCTGAAAACACTGCTGGAACTATCAAGGAACAACTAGCAGCTATAGAACCAATACTTGAACAGTTATGGCAACAAAAGGAAGAAAGAATCAAGGAGTTTTCGGATGTACAGTCACAGATCCAAAAAATTTGTGGAGAGATAGCCGGAAACTTGAGCCTTATTGATGCTTTACCTGAAGTCGATGAGTCCGACCTGTCCTTGAAGAAGTTAAATGAATATCAATCCGAACTCCAACAACTTCAAAAGGAAAAGGTAATCATTTATACTATCCAATAATGTATCAGTTAGGCAGAAATTTGGAAATTCCATTTTATCTGTAATGCCTAACAGTACATTAACAGTTTTGTTCCATTGCTTTGTTCGGCAGAGTGAGAGATTGCACAAGGTTCTTGAATTTGTGAGTACTGTTCATGATCTATGTGCTGTCCTTGGTTTGGACTTTTTCAGTACCATAACTGAGGTTCATCCAAGCCTAAATGATTCTACTGGTGTTCAATCCAAAAGCATAAGCAATGAAACCCTCGCTAGGTTGGTTAAGACGGTCTTAACACTAAAAGAGGATAAAAAGCAGAGGCTGCACAAGGTAATGCATTAATAACACTGAATGTTTTATTTCTTTAGTTTTTATTTTATACAATGGCTGTTAAATGTATATGCATTCAATAGTTAGTAACTCTTGCAAACCATAGTTTTGTCTTGCAAAATGTCTGTGTATTTTCAAGGAATCACTATCAATTATGACCTGTATGATTTCAAGGCACCCAGAAGTGATATAACATGGTCAATTCATTTGTGGGTGACTTTTAATCTATGGAATAATTTTTTCACATTGACTTGTGTATCCCTTGCAGCTCCAAGAATTGTCGTCTCAGTTAATCGATCTGTGGAATCTAATGGATACTCATCCAGAGGAA